GGGGGGGGGGGGCGCGTTGTAAACATAGCAAAGTCTGTATGTAGAGTTCTGTGAAGGCGCAGTGACGACAAAGGCCCACACAGACTATTTGGTAGTAGCGACCAAATTAGTAGTATTTGGGCTCAGCTAGATTCAAACTATTATGGAGTCTTCTGGTGGCTGTCCTTCGGTTGCTAGTAGAGAGATATCCTGAAAGCCAAACCACAGCACTTGAGCCAATATCTGCTTCTAGAAACTGATAGCAGCTTTGTCATTCTCACTAGCCATTGAACCCATACCTCTGCTTACTATTAATAAATAAATCTTTCCTGAACCTGATGTGCTCTGGGGTGGCAAAAGGGGATGAGGCGGGCATAATGCTCGATTCATTAAGCGTGACATCACCGCTGTCCCAACGGGTCGATCGAACATATAAACATTGGCATCCATCTGGGTCAAACAACATGTAAACATCTCATTGAGGCTAACACAGTAGTCATTCGGCATTTAATCATGTCATCTGAAATTCCAGATATTCCTGAACTGAAGCGCGCCGTGGAAAGCGGCCAGCGCATTGACCCAGAGGATGTCTCTGCTTTGGCGCAGAACGAGAGCGAATTGACCGGTGGTGGGCCGATCAGAGGTGGAGCAGCAGGTGTGTTCATAGGTCTAGACATTGTGGCATTGTATTGACCCAAGTGCACAGCGACGGCACAAAGCCTTGCAATGAAGCAGATGAATTTCGATGAGAAATTGGAGGCTTTATCGCGAAAGCCACAGAGCCACATTACACAGGAGGATGCTCGAGAACTCCACGCGGCGGAGGTAAGAGCTTTATGGCTGCTCTTTCTGAAATAATGAACACATCGAACGAGTATGTCTAATGTAGGGTCGCGCCTTCAACAAGGCACCTGGTCCTGGGTCCGTCTCTGCGCAGGTCCGATCGATAGCAGACCGTAACGAGGCCCTTGGGGTCCCTGCTATACCAGGAGATGCTTCTGTGTACATTACAAAGGATGATGCGAGGGAGGCTCAGCATGCTGAATCGACAATATATGGCGGAAAAAACCCTCGCGGTGGGATTGCGGCAGAGATGCAGGTAAGTGTAAAAAAATCAATATGTTGAGGGGCCCTTACCTGTCTCTGATCTTGAACATAGCTGATACTGGTCTAGAGTGCTGCTGACAAAACCGAACATGCATATCGGGGCTAACCCTACTAACACTCAAGTTTGACAGAATTAATCACAAACAAATAGTCCATAGCAAGCAGATACACCGGAGTCCATTAGCAGGAATGATGACAGTTTGAAATCGAATTCGGTATTCCGTTTGTCTTATTTGTAACAAATATGACCACTAGCAATTTGTTACTCTGTGCAAGATAAGCCACATATCCGAACATCTGGGCATCAGATAATCAATGAGTCCGAGACATGTCTTAAGAAAGAGAACCGATGGCTAATTTTAGCTTCTGTCATTTCTACATAACATAATCACGATTGTTGTGCAAACCTATCAAGTCACAGCGAATGTTTTGCAAAGCACTACGAAGTTAATTTTATGAGCTGAGCCTCGCATTGAGATGCATCCCTGTCTGTGAGTGGCTTCCGACAACCGAAAACTATGGACTGGTTAAAGACCAGTCGGTAGCTTGCCATACGATCATAATTGTTCCATATGTGATCATTGACCGCCCTTATCACATCTCTTTCCCAATTTCATATCTCGCATGCCTTTCGCTCACTAGCCACCCTGTCTACCGAGAATGTAGAATACATAGGCAATAATTGGGCTGGGATGCTTGATTATGCATGGCTTCGCATATGCAGAGTGATCAAATGCATTTGGGTCCTACCCAGAAAGGTTATATTTCCGTAGATGCCAATCGGCTATTTTGTTTTGGAAACCGCATCAGAGCCCGAATTGATGGTGAACTGGAAGCTGTCGCATCCGAATCTCTACGCCGAAACCAAACATGATGCAGTGGCATACTCTCTGCAGCTCTATTTGGGGGCCATCCTTTGGGATTATCGCACATCTTGCTGCACAGTTAGCGTCATGCCCCAGGAGTAAGCAGCGTACGACAAAGTGCAGCCTAGGTCATGAAGACTGAACAAACCCAGGGGTGATGTTGAACGCGAGTACAAGTGTTTGCGCTCGGCAACGATGTACAATTTTCGTCGTGTCTACCTACACATCGTGCTGAACATGACAGTGCTCCAGAGGACAAGGTTTCAACTCCAGCAGATGATAGGTCGATTCATGGATCAAACATGATATCTGCCTAAGCAGGTATCAAGCCTTCCGGGAGATTGTGCTGCATACGTGACTGGAGATGTTGAGCAGGGATACCCCGTGCAGATCTGACATTCGCCCAAATTTTGGCATTCGGTGAGCAGATAATTGCTTTTGCCGACACAAACACACACACCCACTATGACTCGGAGCTCACGCATGGTGTGGAGTAATGCACAGGAAGCGTCTTTTGCTCGGTTGACCGGATACTTCACGGGCTTTGAGGTGACCTCAACAAATCCCCCGCCGACCCGCGTGTCGCGAAGCTGTCGGCCAGCGATCGGCGGCCAGTGCTCCCCCATTCGGGATCAGGAATCTCAAATCTCCACGATTATGGACTACTAACTCAGAGCACATTGCCGGTCATCTCCGGGGTAGAGCGTGACAAATCTTTGTCCGGAAAGAGTAGGATGGAAAGAGGGACCAGCACTGCACCTTAACCGGTTCAGCATGGTTTGTGGACTAGAATCGACACGTCTATTGGAACAACCGCCCACACCATTTCGGGATGGCAGCATGTCAAGTGTGCGATCAGCACCCTGATTGATATGGGGCAGCTGGAGGATGATTGGTGAGAGTGCAGGGCAGTGCAGTGAAGGAGTGATTGGATTCCGGCGTAACTCCGTAACTACCGCAGTTGTTGCGAAACCTGCTCTGAGAGGGAGGGAGAGAGATCCACCCGCTGGAAATGGAGTCCGAGAAAGTGAGCAAGGGGGGGCTTAGAGCAGAAGTTTCTTTTTGAGGCGCAACAAAGAAAGGAAAGCAACCGTGCATCGCATCGAGGGACGAGAAGTGGAGAAATTGGAGAAGGGGAGTCCAACAGAAGGAACGAAGCAGAGGTCCTCCCGTGACGCAAAGGCGCGCCCCTCTTCAGGGCATGACAAATTGTGGTTTTCTCAGACGGTCGCGGCCAACGCCAATTCCAGCCCATCCAGCCATGTCGTCAACGAGAACGGCTGTCTTCCACCCCATCGCCCATCCGGATCCTTGGGTGATAATCTTCTCAACCTCGCGGATGGGCAAGATGTCAGCTATAAATACGTCGCCTCGTCTTCCACTTTTCTCGAGGGTCCTCATCTCGTGAGCACCTTGGTCGCCTTCAAGTCTCTCCTTCTCTCCAATCAGCATTCTCCACCAACACCCTCCCACATTCTCCATCCAATTATTGCCAGAATGCCTTTGTCCGGCCACTGCCTGTGCAAGGCTGTCACTTACACTGTGGACGTCGACGCACCCCTCATCGTGGGGTACGATCATTGTGACGACTGCCAGCGTCAAAGCGGGTCAACCTACTGTAGGTGTTCTCCTTGGCTCCCACTAAGCAAGACCGTTCCATGGTTACTGACCTTCCCAACAGCTCTAGTTGCCGTTGTCCCCAAGGACAAATTGACGGTCAATGGACCCATCAAGAAGTGGTCTGGAACGGGATCCTCCGGCCATGCGGTGCACCGTCTCTTCTGTTCGGATTGCGGCTCACCCATCGCGCACGATCCCGACGCGGCCCCAGAAATCATCGCCCTGAAAGCTGGTACTTTTGACACAGAAATCAAGAAAAATCTCAAGCCCGTATGTTCTGCGATCCCGTGTAATAGCCCCCCTTACTGATCTAAATTTCTCTTCCAGGACACCGAGATTTGGACCGTTAGCAAGCTTCCTTTCTGCCAGGAGCACTTGGAGAAGCCTTTCAAGAATATGCCCGAGTAAGCAAGCACCGAATGGAGGCTTCACAAAACATGCTATGATATGACGAATATTATGCAATGTAGTTAATATTGAAACAATTCTATATTCATCGAATTCACTTTCGTTTCTTGGAATATCACACCCTTCAATCAATCAGTCCCGCTCGCTAAGAGGCCTGTAAAGAGTGAGACCTGGCCACCAGCGTTGAGAATAGGGGTTTAAGTGCCCTTAAAAATAGCGTGCCACGACGGAATAAGGCATAGTACTACCATGGCTAACTGCCATATACGCGAGAAATTTACTCCGCAAGAAGCCGAGTAAGCTGCAACGGACGACTGGAACATTGATGACGGTCAATACTTGGGAAGCAACACTGTCGAAAACTTGGAAACCCGAGACAGTTTGTTATTGCGGGCATTTGCTAACCACCGGGAAATTATGCCACGCTCCTAGGCGATCTTAAAATGATGGTTTCGCCAACATGGCGGGGCATCTATGCCACAGAACTCGACTAGCGAACCCGGTACGGAGCATCGTCAATTCAATGTCTTCCGGAATACTCTATGTCAAAGACTCGCGCACCGATGTGCAGTATGAGATCCCAATCCGGAGAAATACCGTCTCAGCCGTGGACTTCAAAAAAATAAAAGGCCCAGGAACGGGAGCCGACCGTGCAGATCAGGTCGCGGGAGGCCTCAGGGTACATGACCCTGGGTTGAGAAATACTACTGTTGTGGAGACGGCCATAAGCTTCTCGTACGAGTTCCACTGCAGTGGCGGAACGACCTGACTGTTCTAGGGATCATGAAAGGAGTTTGCTTCTTTTCCGCGGCTACAGCTTGGAGCAACTTTGGCAAAGCGATTTCGAGGACGTACTGCATCTCCTTGTCTGGGGATCTTATCCGACAGTGCCGCAGAGGAATAATCTCAGCCACAAATTGACAGAGGCCATGCTAGCCGTGCCAGATGATGTGCAGAGAACGATCTGGAGCCTTCCGTAAGTAAATCGGATTTGCGACTGCCATCGCTGATGGAGTGTCTGTCTAGAGGCACCTCGTCGCCGCTGCCGCTCATTGTTGCGGGTCTTTCGGCTTGTCTAGCTAGTCACCCTGACATGATCCCGGCATCGCATGATGCTAACATGTATCGGAATAGTCCTGAAGATACCGACCGTGCAATAATCCAAACCGTGGCTGCCTACGCTGTGGTATTTGGCCTTGTGAATAGTCATCGGAAGGGTCTACGATTTACGCCGCCATCTAGGGGAAGGTCATACTATGAAAATCTTTTTGTGATGGCGGGACTTGTGGACTCGAGGACAGGTCGCCCCGATCGGGTCAAGCTGTCTTGCTTCCGGCGGTTTTCTATCCTCAACTCGGACCACGGAATGGCATTGACAGTCTTCTCTGCTCTGGCCACATCATCATCCTTGACGGATCCTATCTCCTGCTTGATCACGGCCATAGGGTCGGCGTGGGGGCCGCTGCATTTCGGCGCCACGGAATCCGCCAAGAGAACCTTGAGGGATATTGGCGAGGCCGAGAATATACCAGGTTATATTCACAACGTGAAGCAGGGACACGTGAAGGTGTTTGGGTATGGCCATCGCTCCTACAAAGGCATCGATCCGCGAGTACCGCCAATCCGATCCATATTGAAGGATCTGGATATGTCTGCAGACAAGCTTTTAAAACTAGCCGAGCGGATTGAGAGCGCTTGTTCGAATGATGCCTACTTCACAGAGCGGGGGCTGTACGTGAACGGTGACTTCTACGGACATTTCATCTTCACAGCCATGTACGGCGCCCGAAGGAAAGCGTTGCTCGATTGGACCCGCCGCTGACATGTGTAGTGGCTTCGACCCGGAGATCATCCCAGCGGCTATGTTGGCCCAGCGGATCATGGGAATTATGGCGCATTGGCGGGAGTACATGCGTAAGCCGTGATGCGACGGTAGGATATCGGGACTTTCTAACAACCTACAGTGACACGCGGCAAGTTGTTGCGGCCATCACACATCTACACAGGGGAGGCAGAGGAAAGACTATTGCCGAGATTGTAAGTATGGTTGAATGGTATATACGTCAGTTGTCACACTAGGTGATAGAGCAAATCATGGTTTTCACGAGCATGCAGTATTCGTCTAGAAGTAAGATAATCTTGGCTGGGACCACTGAAATCCTCCGATTTCGGGCATAGAGTTGAAGATCATCATGTCAAACAGTCAGCAGTATCAAGCGACTCTGGTGGCAGCGAACCAGCCTGCCACCGAAGGCACACCCCTGCTGGCTGAACAGCCCGCGAAGAAGCCATACTCGATTTTTACACCTGGCCAGAAACGGCTCATCATCGTAACCGCCGCGCTTGCGTCCAGCTTCTCACCACTTTCCGCTAACATCTACTATCCAGCTCTGAACTCCATTGCTGCAGACTTACATGTCACTAGCTCGCAGATTAACTTGACAATCACAACATACATGGTACGCGTGGACTTTTTCATCAGCAGCTGGCTGCACTGACCGAACAGCTATGTCAAGGTCTCGCCCCGGCCTTTATGGGATCCTTCGCCGACCAAGCCGGCCGTCGACCAGCATATATTCTTTGTTTTGCCGTCTATATCACAGGTAATATCGCGCTCGCCTTGCAGCACAGCTACCCGGCGCTGCTGATCCTTCGCGCCATCCAGAGCTGCGGTAGCAGCGGCACCGTCGCGCTCGCTTCTGCTGTGGCTGCAGACGTGATAACATCCGCTGAGCGCGGTACATATATGGGAATTACGTCTCTAGGGATCATCCTTGCGCCGTCTGTTGGACCCCTGGTTGGGGGGATCCTAAGTCAGTACCTGGGTTGGCAGGCCATTTTCTGGTTTCTTGCAATAACATCTGGGGTATTCTTTGCCCCCCTCCTCATCTTCTTCCCGGAAACATGTCGCAAGATCGTAGGTGATGGCTCCATTTCACCATACGGCTGGAACCAGTCTGGCCTCGCTTGGTACAGACATTGGCGCCATCCAGCACCCGCGATTACCAGTACCCCGGGCCAGAAATCTTCGAGAATTGCCCTTCCTAATCCACTAACCACGTTGAGTCTTCTTTCGCACCGCCCAACCGGGCTCGTCTTACTGTCCAACGGCCTTCTCTTTGCCAGCTACTACGCTGTCACTGCTGGAATCCCATCACAGTTCAAGGAGACCTACCATCTGAATGACTTCGTAATCGGATTGGTCTTCGTTCCTGCTGGTGTGGGATCCCTTCTAAGCACAACCTTCAGCGGGCTCCTGCTCGACTGGAATTATCGGCGTCTACGGGAGCAGTTCGGGTCTCCGATTCTCCAAGCGCACCACCACGGAGCATTTCCAATTGAGCGGGCCCGAATCCAAATTTGTCTCCCATTGACGGTGTTACCCCTCATTCTTGACATTAACTTGATGGCGTTATTGACTGATGAGTACCATATCATAGCTTTTAGCAGCCTTGTCTATCATAAGCTACTCCGCACTCATGAGCCTAGCCACGCCGACCCTCTCCCACGCTCTTGTCCTCATCTTCGCCATCAGCTTCTCTATCACAGCAGCCTACAACATCATGAACATTCTGATTGTGGATTTGTACTACAGTACACCCGCCACAGCCATGGCGGCGAATAACCTGGTGCGGTGCTTTCTAGGAGCAGCAGCAACAGGACTAGTGCTTCCAGCCATGGTACGCTGGGGAACTGGATGGACATACGGGTTGGTGGGAGGAATGGTTGGGGCTGTAGTGTGTCCGCTGTTAGGGTGGGTGTATGTGAAAGGGATGGAATGGAGATGTGCAGATGAGAGATATAGACCGGTAGCAGAAGAGTGATAGTGAGAGCCGGTTGCAATAATCACCGGCTGACAATATTTCCCGTTCTGTTACACTGAAGTCCACGATAGTTTAAATAATAAAGACTCAAGTCTAAGACCACATTCATGATAGCTCGCACACTATCTATTTCTATACCTTCCACTAACAATTCCTGAAGCACCATCATGAACTACCATCTCCTCATCTCCCTTCTCATCCCTCTAATCACTACACAAATCATCGACCCCCTTCCACACTATCCCCAAACCCTCCATCTCCACTACCCCAACACTCCATGGATCCAACCCGGCGACACCCTCCAAATACTCAGTATACCCTCTCCCCACCACCTGCCCTCTTCCCATGCACCCCCTAACCCAACAATAACAGACACGAAGCCCCTCCCAATCCTCAGCACCCAGCACCTTCCCCTTCACCAAACGTACACCATCCTCTTCCTCGACCTCGACGTCCTCTACAACCACACCACAGCAACCGTCATCCTGCACTGGTACCAGCCCGACCTAATCCCATACCCCAACAACACCAACATCCTCCTCCCAAACCCCCAAGTCCCAACCAGAAAACCAGCACCCTACATCGCCCCCCAACCCCCTACAAACTCTCACCACCGATACCTCTACCTCCTGTACACTCAACCACCGAACTACACCTTTCCAGAATGTTTCGAGCACATACTCCCCCCTACCGCGGAGGCACGAGCAGGGTTCGACATAAAACTCTTTGCAGATGCAGCGGGACTGGGGACGCCCATAGCGGGGAATTGGTTTTACGTTAGAAATGAGGTGGACTTGCCTACTGGGAGTGGTAGTGGGAGTAAAGGAGGAGTTGCTACGTCTACAAGTATGAGTACGGCTACAACGACGACGACTTCGATGAGGTGGGTTGAATGCAATTTGAGCAGCAGCAGCAGCAGCAGCATTAGTACTTCTGTTCTCAGTACCAGTACTGCTATTGCTGCTACAACTACCACAACTCATCGACCCACCGATTCCCCGACAGAAACCACGCTAGCAATGAGTAACAACATCGACGAAAGCCAGGTCCAGGCCCAGGCCCGACTCAGCTAGCACTATAGCCTAAATCCGACCCAACAAGGCGGTATAGTAAACCTTACTTTCTGAACATGAATGAATCAGCACGTACGGACCATCTACCATATTCGTAAAAGGCACCGCACCAACGTAACACAAACAAGGGGATAGACCTACCTTATTGGGAACTCTCCAACCAGCAGCAGCAGCAGCAGAATTTATGACAAGCTTATACTACACTACACTAGACCACCCTACAACTAACACTTACTCCAATTCCACTCTACACGGACAAAGCAAGCCATCTGGGGGAAGGGGAAGGTGGAGGGAAGCACGTCTCTCCCCAATCATCATCATGCAGGAGGAGGGCAAGAAGGATGGTAGGACAGGTAATAGCAACTCAGAACTCAAATTCTGAGTTTCTGGGCATATGAGACGAATTAAAAACAGAGCAATCTTCTTTGGGATCAGCCTTAGCGGTAGGAAATAGGAGTTAAGTGGGTAGTAGACTAGTAGGTGGTAGTGGCAGAAGGGTCGTGTGGAACGTGAAAAGATTTCTCTCGCCCATGTAACATCGACTGAATCACCCACCCGTCGTCCCGTTCGAACGGGTTGCTTACTGTGGGGGAACTTATTTGTTGTGTGGTAGGGCGTGCAGGGCGTGGCAATCATGGCGTGGCTCGGCGTGGCGTGGCGGTCAACTAGTTCATAGTATCCTCTATGCTGGGATTTGCGGTGTGTTGGGTTGGGTATGCTATGGCTACTGCTAGTAGTAGTTGTTGTAGTAAGTAGTACTGACTGCTGCATACTATTATTATAGTCCATATAAGTAGTATGTAACCCCTGGAGGATATGGAGACTACTACTTATCGCTTTGAATACTTTTAGTAGTACGCTAATATACCAGTGTTCTTCTTATTCAAACTGACTATATACCCATCTATCCAACATGAACGAGCATCCCCATCCACTGCCTAAAAGCGTCAAAGTCCGCTCCACCTGCAACGCCTGCCAACAAGCCAAGATCCGTTGCAGCCATGAGAAGCCAGCCTGTCGTCGGTGTCAGAAACACAACATCGACTGTGTCTACAGCATATCGCGACGGTTAGGGAGGCCAGCGAAGAAGAAAGATGTCGACGCCGAGAGCGACTATCGTCGCGATCGTGAGTTTCTAGATGGGCCTAGGAAGCAAGAGTCGCGAGCGCGGAACGGTTCCAAGAACAGTAACAGCAATACCAGCAGTAACAATAACAGAAAGAAGAAGATGAAGTCAGAAGACGAGCAAGAGACTGTGTTGGATGATACTCTACTGCTACTGGACAAGGCAGGTGGGAGCCAAAGTGTTTTGGACCCTGTTGGTGTGTTAGATTCGGTTCCAAGTTTACCGGGCGATTGCTTTTTGGATCAGGCTACTCCCACAGCTTTGTGTAAGTGTCGCTTACTTGTCGGCTATTATACCGCTGTGTGATGTTAATTGGAATAGTCGCGGATAGTGGCTTCGATCTATTTTCCGATAGCTGGGTGCAAGAGTTCATTGCCAACCCGCCGGTCGATCTCGCGCAGGAAGGTTTACTGTTGGATTCGATTGTGAGCAGCGTCAAGCCTGAGAGTACAGGTGGTCGTTCTCCAGTAGACCGAAGCATACCTCGACAAGCTTTATTCAGGATACACCGCTTATCGCAGCCACGACCCTGGAGAATATCCATGGTATCATGGAAGCCCCGTCAGAGGCAAAGTATCTGAAGGAGGACCCCCTGGCTTGGTCGCTGCCATTCTCCACGATGGACACGTTCCCAGCCAGACAGATAGCCACCGAAACTACTGCATTTGCTCAAGCGAAGATGACAAAGAGACCATACCTATACGGCCTCCCTGCGGGAGAGATGAAACCTGTGTCAGCCGTTCTAGCGCCGCACGCATATCAATTCCAGTGTCACGAGTACACGATCCAGGAATCGTTCAGGCAGATGTCGATTGCCATAAGGATGGGGCCATATATGTCGATTGACCACATTCTTCACTGTCAACGTATGCTGCTGAATGTATCCGATACCATTCTCAAATGTTGCGTCTGCTGCATCACGAAAAGGGATATACTCATGGTCATCGTTGTCAATATCGACAGTCTGATGACGAATCTGGAGGCTATAACCACAGGGGAAGCCGGGAATCCACAGAGACTGCTTTATAATGGATATCATGAGCATATGCTGCCGGATTGCAAGCAGGATATTGCAGGAAATATGAGCAGACGGTATCGGAGTAGTGGACTGCATTTCAGGAGTCAAATTGATGCATGTCCATTGGTAGTGGGCAAGTTCTGCGTCCAGTCTGGTGACAAGTTCTTCTGCATCTTGCAGATCTTGTACAGTCAATTATCGGATCTGCTGTCAACGGTCAGAAGAATCACGCTTTATACGCAAGAATCGTCCACTCGCATATCTCTGACTAACGAGACTGAAAGGCGGTTGGAGGAGGTTATGTTGCAGATGAAGAGGATGACCAGGGTGTAGGCGATGGCGCTGCTGTTCATTGTTTAAAAACTTTGTAGTGATTAGTTTTAATTCGACTATTGGCTGCATTTTCCACGGCCTTTCTAGGCCGTATCCTGCTTCTGAACTCCCGTTACTCTTAAATCAGAAAATAATCAGTATTGCCTTCAGTTTATCGCCAAAGCAAGGGTCTACTTCTCGTATTCAATCCAAGCCAAATTGCTGTACGTCGACCAGCCTACCGGTCACAACGATATCTGTGCAACCCACTGCGGGTCGAATGACAACATGTTCCACGACGAACAGGCTGTCCAGATATTCTGGACCAACAAAGCCAATTCCTTCAAGGTTGATCGGAAATGTGAGGCTGCCATGAATCACACCCACCGAGGTTGTACTTGAATGGAACGACACGTGAAGGAAAGTATGAAGTTAGATTGAGTCATATCCCAAGCCCTCCATCACACAGCATCTGGAGGGTGATAAGACTTACCATCAATAGAGAAGCCACATCAGCAATGTCAACGGGGTACCGAATGCCCCAGCACGCAAGCAGAATGGAACAGTCCACTACCAACTGCCCCTGCTCGATTAATGGACTTCAAATAATTACGGAGCTCCGGACTGTCCAGCCCGTTGTTGAACTCGGCACGGTTCTCGATATCGTTCAAAGGGTATATACACACGGCAAGGATGTACTCCAATGCCAAGACTGTCGAAAAAGCCCACACTCGTCATATGTGATGCTACCAGCATTGGCGGAGCAATGTCTCTCCCTATTTGAAGCCGTCTGTATCGCATATAATATTACGAGGGGGAACATGCTATTTGATCCATCAGTGTTGGCGTTCGAGGAGCCATTGCCGCAATTTATCTGTATGAGGAGTAAGACAGTGTTGGGGCAGATAGAGCTGGATGAAAGGGAGTCGGTGATGCTTGTAAGAACACTACTGGGGAGGAACTTAATGAAAATCTTGGAGGTGTTGGAGACCCTGCAAAAGATATTCAGGTCGTTAGGGAAAGAGGCTAGTGAAGGGGGACGATGTGCGGGCCCCGCAACGCTACGGGCGTGTGAGTCGTCTGTTGAAGCCACCATGCGGAGGTTCGCTGTGTTCATGAAGCAAGTTGAGGATAACTCTGGTAGGTCGTTTATACATTCTAGGCTCGTGGTTGTGGCTAACACTGATTCGTGTAGGGGCGTGAAGGACGACGAGGAGGAGTGAGGGGCGAGGACGAGGCGTACCCTATATACTATGTGAGATCAAGCAAGTTAATAAATTAGATTGGGTTCCGACGCGTTAGCTCAATCAATGATTAGACTGGTACTAAGACCAGCAGCATATGGTGTAAAACAACACGCGAATGATCAGTCATGAGAAACATTGAGTCGAGAACATAAACGGAGAAGAAAAAACAACACGATGACGAGTCGTGAGAGAAATCAAGTCGACAACAGAATTGAAAAGGGAAAACAGACGGAGACCAGTCACGAGAAGACCAGTTCAAAGAAGACCACTCCAAAGAAGACCAGTCTAAGGAAGGTCAATCAATCCACCACAATCTGTCCAGATGTCACCCCAACGAGCTGTCTGTAATCCTTCCTAGACGTGAACCAAAGACGTGTCGAAAGTAGGTACTCGCATAAAGAGACGAACCGAGAAGAATTGGCGAAGGAGCAGATACGCAAGTTAGCGAGGCATAGTGCGCTGATAGGTGCCTAACCATTCACCCCATCCGATGACTTTTCCAGCCATGGCCTCCTTAATGACTGAGACGGTGGCCTTGTCTGGCTGGGTAATGTCAAGGGGCTCGCTCAGCGCGACAATGGTGAAAATGTAGCGATGATAACCGTGACCGTAGGGGGGTGAGGCACCGATGTAAGACGACCCAAGAAGGTTAGGAACGTATCTCCAACCAGCGAAGGTGATGCGGCCAGGCATGTTGGGATTCATGTCCACATCATCATCGTAGGCAACGAAACAAGTGGGCGGAATCTCGAAGAAAAGACCATGAACAAAGACCATAGACGGGATGGGGACGTCAGGATCTTCGCAAATCAGGACAAACTCTCTGGCTTCTCCGCAGCGAGGCATAGTCCATCGCAGGTTGGGAAATCTGCCTCCCTTCTCAACGTCAAGGTAGGTGTGATGGTCGAGGAGGCTACATCCGGGCAGCCCGCACTCAGGAGCCTCGAGCTTCATATTTGGCTCAGGCAAGTGAGCAAAAGCGGCGGACTTGGTGATGAGGTTCTTGTCATGGCCTCTAACGTAGTACAGCATTTTGAACAGCAAAAGCTGCAAATAGAGGAAGAGAACCGAGAACATGGTGTCGGTCCTCTGCAGCAGGTGGTATGTACGTGTGGAAAGGTTGGGATGATCAAAGGAAGTGTTCAAGACAAGAAATGCTTAGAGAGACTGTAGGTGTTTGGAGGATGAGGGTAGAAGAAGAAGAAGGTGAAAAGGAGGAAAGGAGGGAAAGAGGAAGAAGGAATCTCGACGTGTTGTTGACAGAGAAGGGCTCAACGCAGTCGAGGAAAAGCGCCTGAACCGGCCCGTGGCCGGCTGCCCTAGACTAAGTGACATTTCCATAGAAACAGCAGCAGTCTAGTGTTACCTTTGGTCAATTTAATAGCCGTCTGTCAGTCATACTCTAAGCCCATGAAATAATGCCCCGCGTCTGAAAGAGGCTAGAAAGCCGTGAGAGAATGATTCACTGGATGGACATGAGAGCCCTGAATGTGGCAATTATGGTGTAGGAATGTGCAGAACGGCGACGGGTTTCATGGTCAGGCATGAGCACAAGCACAAGGATATACCAGCCTGACATGGAATCTAGTGAGGGCACATGGAAGAGATGTGAAGCCGGCAAGCCAAGCCGATATCGATCGATCGGATCAGTTGCTCTGATAAGAACAGCCAAAGTGGATCCCCATGACGTAGCGTGCATTAGTGTTGAGTTGTGCACACTGCCTGGCTGAGTCAGCAGCACAACGCTGGTTGGACTCATCTCCGCAGGTCTCCGAGACCTCCGAATGTGACTTCGATCGTGTTTTCTCCCTTGATGGACCTGCTGTGAAGTTCTCCTGGTCCCCTGCTCATCAATCCTGTTTTCTCTGATGGCTTTTGCATCTCCGCCGGCCTCTCCTCCGGATGAGGATGGCCAGGCCCGCGCGCCGCGCTATCCCGGCGAGGATACAACGCCCACCAGCCGCCAGGAAATCTGGGGATGGTACGCCTATGGTATCGCTGCTGAAGTGTTCGCGGTATGCGGCGTAGGTGCGTAATCCTTTCCTTGAACGCATCCTCGTGTTTGCAATGCTAATGATATCGTATAGGCTCATTTCTTCCCCTCACACTGGAGCAATTGGCCCGTGAGCGCGGGTTCCTCCAAAGCAGCCATTTGCCGTGTGTCGGTCCCGACTCGCCCTCCGCGCCCAAGGAATCATCCCCAGCCATGTTTCGCCGCGATGACACCAATGAGCAGTGTGTGGTTGGACTGATGGGGTTGGAGATCAACACGGCCAGTTTCGCCATGTATACTTTCTCTCTGGCGGTTCTGGTGCAGGCGTTGACTCTGATCTCATTCAGCGCACTGGCAGACTATGGTATGACCCACTGCCTTATAATCCCGTAAGACAATGCTGAGAAATCGTATAGAGAACAATCGCAAGACGCTTCTTGTCGCATTTGGATTTATCGGATCAGCAACAAGCATGCTATTCGTTTTCATCGCGCCTCCAGTATTCGTACTGGGTGCGCTTTTAGTCGTCGTTGGAGTCGTCTGTCTTGGCTCATCCTTCGTCGTACTGAATTCCTTCCTACCAGTGCTCGTCGCCAATGACCCCTCTATCCAGAACAGCAACAAGGAATCCGCCGCCGAACTGCATCGGCTCGATCCAGAAGCCGAATACGTACACGCCCGCACATCCTTTGATAGGGACGAACCAAACCATCGCCCTCCAACCGGGCTCGGTCTAGGCGGCGCAACAGGCACTTCCTCCCCAGAATTGCAGTTGTCAACCAAGATCTCCTCGAAGGGCGTTGGTCTCGGCTACTGCGCAGCAGTGTTTGTCCAACTACTCAGTATCCTGTTGCTCTTCACCCTATCCAAAACCTCGATCTCCAAGGCCTCTGGCACGCTTCCTTTGCGCTTCGTGCTCCTACTCGTTGGTATCTGGTGGTTCAGCTTCACCATGGTGAGCCGGCGCTGGCTGCGCAGCCGTCCCGGACCACCCCTCGAATCTACTTCAACAGGCGCAAGCAGCCACCAACCCCGCTGGCGTATCTGGCTTCACCTCGTTGCCTTCGCGTGGAAGTCGTTGTGGAGAACAGTTAAAATAGCTCTCAAACTCCGCGAAGTGATTGTTTTCCTCGTGGCGTGGTTCCTCCTGTCAGATGCAATGGCCACCGTCTCCGGTACGGCAATCCTCTTCGCCCGCACCGAACTCAAAATGAGCACAACCATGGTTGCCCTGCTTTCCATCACCGCAACACTTTCCGGTATGGCAGGAGCGTTCCTGTGGCCTATTGTCTCTCGATACTTCGGTCTCAAGTCCAACCATACCATCATGGTCTGCATTGCGTTGTTCGAACTCATCCCGCTTTATGGTATGCTTGCATACATTCCTCTATTTAAAAACTGGGGCGTGATCGGATTGCAACAGCCATGGGAGATCTACCCCCTTGCCATTGTGCATGGAGTCGTTTCCGGTGGGTTGTCTTCGTATTGTCGGAGTTTTTTCGGGTTGTTGATTCCTCCCGGTATGGAAGCCGCGTTTTATGCACTTTACGCTGCGACAGACAAGGGGAGCTCGTTCATCGGACCTGCAATCGTCGGTGTGCTTATCGATGCAACTGGACAGGTGCGAAGTGGGTTCTTCTTTATTGCGGTGTTGATTGTCTTGCCTATTCCTCTGGTATGGATGGTGGATGCGGAGAAGGGAAGAAGAGAGGGACTCAAGATTTCAGAGGACATGGTGAGAGGTGGAGAGGGAGAGGATGAGGAGGTGGAGGGATTACTGGCTAGGTAGATAACGTTAGATGGTGCGGATATTCTGTCCCGGAAATGATTTATGGAATGAATGAGGAATGAGAAGAATTCTGAAGGTCACAAATATTATCGATGGGGATAACGCTTGCATAAGCACGTGATCATTTTTATATCTATATTCACTGTTACTATGATGTGCTCATGTGCAAGTCACGAACACAGTAGTGACGGTTAATGTCACTCATCGTCATCTACAACCACCACCATCCAAACTCCTACTTGCCCATTACTCGCCAGCAGCGGTGTGCAATGAACCCATCTGTCTCTTCCCTGTGCATTAAATCTATTCAACCATTTGATCCTTGCTGTGACGCTCCGACCACTCATCAATGCATGCAGTAATTCATCCCTAACTGCTGCACTACTCCCAATTCTAGAGAGAAAGGAGGACTGCAGTATTCCAGGTATTTGCAGCGAGGGCGAAGTAAACAATATCCTTAGGGACGGATATGGACGGACAAGAAGATACTATAAAAGTTAGCACCCTATCCCACAAGAGGTGAGAGACACTCACATTCTCATATACACCAACCAACGCCGTCCCCATCTTGGTATCTTTCTCTCTTATCCCATCGCCCTCGACCGATTCCTCACCTTCAGCAACGGACCACCTTGTCCGGCCGCTATTACGCAATGCCGGGGAAGTCATAGGTTGGAAAAGACTTCCTCCAATGTCTTGAGTGACCTTCAACTCTCGTGGACTGAATAGCTCACTCAAGTCACGGAACTCGTCTCTCTGGATACCAATTGGCGCCTCTGCCACTTCCACACCGTCTCTCATCTGCTGCTTTTGCAAATCTCGCAGTGACTCCATCTGGACACCGTCCATAACCAACCCACTGACATCGATCTGGGCCCCGATGAAGTACCGCACTCTACCATGGCTGTCGCATAGTGGAGCGCACTGAAGAAGATTCATGAAAGGAGAGCCATCGCGACGGCTACACCGTTCGACTGTCAGCATATATGCGCATCTTGTGTGCAATTAAACTTACTAATTCAGAAACAACTCCGAATGATGCCTTCCCGCTTTCAATGCCTCCCTGATCCTCCGCACACTATTAGGATTCGTCTTCGGTCCCTGCAAAAACCGACAATTCCGTCCAAGCACATAGTCCATGCCATACTGCGTCGTGCGATGGAATTCTACCACCAAACCAACAAGTGTCAGCAAAAGAAAAAAAAAAAGGTTCACCAGGAAGGAGAGACTGCGTACCC